TACTTGCCAGTAATGGGAATACTGAAGAGAAAATTATTTTGAATAGAAGTATCATCTTGTGCAAACTGTTCTATCATACTTTGAAGCATTTCAGAAGATGATTTTGTCTATTCCTCACTAAAATTGCGGTGCTTCTTCCTGCAGTCAACAGGCAATAGTCTTCCTGAGGCACTTGACAAGTGTCTTCAGGAACTGAAAAATTTGTGACAACTTTAGCATAGTCATAGAAATGAAACATGATTTCTCTCTATTTTAAAATTAACATGAATTTTTCTCAGCAAGGCCTGTATTTCATACACTTTGTATTTAGACACATTATTACTAAGGTGGACAGTTTATGATTCATATAGGCTAGGGAAAGGGAATATGGAAGATAATCAAATATAGTTCATGGAACTGAATATAATTCACGGAATATAATTCAGACATGCTGTCCTGGTGGCCTGCTACTGTAAAATAATTATTCTCACAGCTTCACAAGCAATCTATTCCTTATCTTCAGCTTTTTCAGGGCTAATATATCCCTGCCATAGATTGATGGATTGACCTGAATAAGGAAGTAGAAAAAAAATGAGATGTCTGAAATGTGTATCATACAAGGGCTAAAAACTCTAATTTAAGATCATTACAGTTGTTCCTCCATGGAAGGGCAATGCTTCAGGGAGCCTCTGAAGTCTTTGCTATTATTACATGGGGCATAAAAATAAATCTGTTATAAGACACTTTCTGACAGCGATTTATACTTAGTCTCAAAGTATTAATTTTGGCCATGCAGAAATTGCTCTAACTCCTACCAGTTTGTCAGTAATCTAATTCTGATAAATCAGGGCATGTCATACATAAAAGAAACATATGATCATGTCTGTCATAATTTTTCTTTTCTCAGGCTGGAGCCTATTAAGACAGTTCGAAGAGGAGGATTTTTCCGTGGGCCATGGCAGCTCTCCTGTCTTCCTTTGAATGTTCTGTCTCTTCAGAGATTTCCTGTTTTGTTGTCTCTCACTGCATTATCTCACATTCAGTATTACCTTGCAGATTTGAAGAAAAACAGCAAGTATTGATTGGTTATGTCAGGATATATATATTTATTTGGCTGGAATTCAGCCCCATAATTTGTATTTTTTAGAAATGTCTAAAACATTTTTTGCTTTCAAAATACTCCCTGTGAGTATGAGCAAAATTTATGACCAGTTGAAGGGTGAAGGGGAGGTGTTTTCATCCTAGAACCTGCTTTTGTGCAATTGAGGAGCACATCTCTCATGTGGCTGAATTCCAGAGCATCTTTCAGCACCAGTGGGAAAGGAAAGGTAGGTATAGCACTGTGTAACCAAAGCAGATCCTCAAACCTTGATTCAGCACTGGAAGGGAAGATCAGCAGCACGGTGAAGGAATGACCCTGATATCACCGTAGATCTTTGATACATCAGGTTTGCCCTCCCAAATCCTGTTCTCCCCAGTCCTAAGAGAAGCTTCACCTTCCCACTTAACCTTACTTTGAGCTGTGAAGCGGAAGCAACAGTAACTAGCTCTGCAAAGTGTTGTTCCTATATGTAAACCTTGTTTTCTTTGTGCTATCCTGTCGCTACGTAGTTCTCGTATAGATATCTACAAATATGTTTGTTTCAATTAAAAGACAGACGTAAACATGACTCCTTTATATTTCTTAGTATCAGATCTGCTCATCTCAGCTTTCCATGCTACAGCCTTTTTTAGCTAATGGCAATGTGCATTTTTATATAACCATACAAAAGTGAGACCGTAAAATGCAAGAAGAGACACCCAGATTCAACACATAGCAATAAGAAATCTTTTATGGGTGTTCCAGATTCCTTGAAATAGTGAGGATAGATTTCTAGGGGAAAGAAAAGAAAAAAAGAGAAAGAAGAGAAGGGAAGAGAAGAGAAGAGAAGAG